TACGCACAGCGAAGATTTCTCACCCAACTCCAAACGCAACTCAGTGAGTCATGAAACTCTCAGAATATAAAAACACACGAACCTCATCTTTTGTCGTCATGCGATTCCCACTCGAGAGCAGCGAGACACACATACGCTGTTCATCGCCACCTCCATACATTCACTCTGAAGAAAAGAGAATCACGTCTTGTGCAGGGATCGAACCACCAACCTCCCGAATACGAGAAACCTCATACTAGTCTAGAGCTCTCCCACTTGACCATTCCTACCATTCTATTCATATCGACGCCAACTGGCGCCTTCTTGTTGAAGACCATAAATCCATCAACCAATCTCAACTCCACTCCCCCACATAGTCTCCGACAATTGTTGAACAGATCCACCAGCACTCCAACCTGTTCCACGCCTACAAATGTGATGCACATCGTGCAACACTTCGCTCCGCTGTGCTCGAGACAAGACGATTCCGACATGAAATCTATGAAATTTGATCCACCTCTTCACGTGTTAAGTCCTATGAATACTGACTCCCCGACGGGCATAACAAAATAGAAACCGCCGACCTACTCATACATGCTCTATAATATTGTGACGAACTGTCCCCATGTTATCACGATTATCAAGCCACTGATCAGTTCCTTACCTTGCTGGTTCCGTGGTAATCCTAGTACTCCGATGACACGCTCAAGTGGTACATGTGAAAACACCTCCGATATCTACACACAAAAATGACATCCCCGGGGATCGAACCTGGCACCTCACCTCTCTCATCTTGCTGAGCGCCTTCCTATTCTCCATCAAAGGTAGCAGCTGTGATTCCACCAAACTGAGAAGCCCTTCGGAGTCCAATGAACGACGAGCTCTTTCATCCAGTGTCTCACTATGAGCGCCAACCTGAACCCAATCTCGGACGATTTTTCCCAACCCAATCTCGGACGATTTTACCCAACCCAATCTCGGACGATTTTACCCAACTCGACCCAATCTCGGACGATTTTACCCAGCTCGTTACCTGCCGTTCCCTGCTCTCATCAGTAGCCATCCCCATCATGATGAGCTTCCCAATAACAGTCCTCACATCTTCGATTCCCCCACTGGAAGAACCACGCGCCGAGTCCGCCCCTGACACCAACGATCGTGAGCCGATTACATCCAATTTCACAGGATTCAACCCATACACACATCCACAGAGAATCGATATTCCGTCACAACATCCACTAAACTGAGCGGCATGGATATCACATTTCGAATGATAGTAAATTCATACCGCGTCCCTTCACCCAGCTCATCCCTTCTAACACACTTCCACCTCCCACACGATCCTCTGACCAACTGTATCAACTTAAAGTCAATCCTAATTTCAGTGGTTAGGCCGTAGTGAAAGCGTCGACACTATGCCCCCCCCCTAAACACTCCGAACCATCAACCCATCAGAATACCTCAACTACAGTAAATCTACAGGAAAAAAATCCAAACAATAAAGTGGACTTCACAACGACACCAAATCAACAGCATAAAAGCACGACGAGACACTCGACAAGAAAGAGACCCACAAAATCTTGCACTCTTGCAATTCCTCAACGCCGCCCGCTCAACCTACCCAGTAGCATCTCTCCTTCTCGGATGTTCCCCTCACCTCGACCGCCAATGAACATGCCGTCAACGTACCTACAAATATAGCCCATCCATAATGAGAGTATCCATAGGTTGACTTGGTAAGATACAAAATAGGTTCCCAACTCCCCGAACTCTGAACCTCACTACTTCCTCATATGCAGAGGCGACCCGTGAGGGAAAACACTGGCCGAAGCCGTAGACACCAACGGGTCCAAGGAGCCCCCCATCTCTACCATTCTCAATACCACATACAGGTGTAACGCCCGAACACACAGTACCTAGCAGAGATAATTTCATGGCGCGCGACAACCGAAGTAATCTCACCCAAGCATGTTTATCTCTTTTAT